ACTCAAACAGGAACCCCACTTGCTAAGTCAGCTGTCACGCAAAACTCAATAAAATATTGTTTGAAAAAGGAAGACAATGATGAAGTACAGATTTATCCTCCAAAACCTTAGCGGTTAAAAGGCAATGGAATAATAGATTTGGGTGCTAAAGAAAAGACTTATAACCAAGAATACCAGATCTAGCCAAACTCTCATCCACAATGAAGGTGAGCATTTCCAGATCCATGACAGCGGAGCGTCCCTAACCTGTACAGCTGCTCAAGCGAGCAAGCAAAGCCAACTCCATGAGTGGTAACGACGTGGGCAAGTTAGAAGCTACTTTTGCTTGGTCATCTAGTTATTACGCCAGTCACCCTGTATAACGACAAATGCATAACAAACATCAACTAATATAACCTAGGGTCAAATGATCATGTAAAGCCAACAATGAAAAGGGGAGAGGTGGGAAGAGAGGAATAGTACAGGTAGAGTTTTTTTTATGCCATTCAAATTAAGTTGGTACCAATTTAAATAAGGTTGTTATAAATTTAAGAAGTTAAATGCAATCCTTATGGATAACCAAGAAGAAAATATCCTAAGCATGCATACAAAATGAAAGAAAATTAAAGAGGTTCACTAAAATATCAAGAGAATACAAATGTTGGCAGTACTGCAGGAAACGAGAAGCAAAGAAGGTCTAAGATACACAGAAAACAACATGGCAGAACAAAAAGAGATGATCATTGAGACATGCGACAGCAGAGGCTCAAAGTCAAATAGAGAAAGTGGGGTCGTTCCTCTGGGAAATGCAGAAAGTAAAAGTATGTCTGTGGATATTGAGAAGAGTAGAAAGTCATGTGCACCGGGCCAGGAAGCATGCTGTGACAAAGTCGGCCATGCCCCTACGCTTTCTCCAGCCCGGGTAAGCAACAAGTGAGGGCTGAGGCAGCGCTAGCTGGAAACAGCCTAAGTACGTGTAAACTGTGTGTGCCAGCACAGACGCAATCAGCAAAACCATAAGAGTTGCTTTTCTTTTCCTCTTTCTAATACTGTGGTGCCGAAAGAATTTTATAGAAATGCTAGCTGAGCACAAGTGACCTCACGTGACAAACAATATACAGTGTCTGTAAAAATAGTTTGGAAGTACAAGGAGGAAGAAAATGTTCTGGAATTAATTGTGGTAGTGATTGTACCATACTTCTTGATATGACTGAACTATTGAATTGTGTGATGTTTGGATTGTGTCCCAATAAAACACTTTTTAAAAATGGTTAGAAAAAGTCATTAAATAAACAACTGTCGCCTTCAACCACTAAGAACAGCAAACACTGGGAAAGGGGATATTTTGATTTCCAGAGTCATCATATGTACGATTCAAATGTCTGTATTTCAACAACAATAAACTCCCAGAGCATACAAAGGAACAGTAAAGCATGGCCCGTTCAAAAGCAAAAATAAACAGACACAAACTGCTCCCGAGGACACTCTGATACCAGCCCACCAGTCTGCTGTGCTTTCTGTTCAGGGTCATTCTCACAGAAGACCAGGTGGGTTGTGCTTTCAGGGGACTGTTTGCCAGTGCAGGGTCACTGGAGGATTCCATGAGCAAAGGAGCCAAGCCCAAGCCGCCGCACACATACCTTCATGGTCTGGTACCTCTCTGAGCATCGCACTCTCTCCACCTCCTCACACACTCCATGCTCCAACATCTCCTGCGGGAGAAGAAACAGTATAAACTCCGTGTCAGTAGGTATGTCTAGAACCACGGAAGCCTGGTTGGTGAGGAGGAGAAAAGGATGTCAGAGTAGGACTGGGGCCTGGCATCAGGGGTAATACCGTCCGATACCCTAAAGAGAGGGAGCTTTGTGACATAGGGATAAGGGGGGTCCTGGAAATTGAAGCTATGGGAAGCAAGAGGTTGGGCCAGGGAAGACAAACAGATACTTTTGGAGGAGCAAGGGCTCCTGCCTCAAATCTCTTGGGGTGCCTAGAGTTACAACTGAGAGTCCTGGTCAAATAAATCATGTTTCCAATGAAGAACAAATCCACAGTACCCAATTATTTGTCAAACATATGCAATCAATCCCATATAATGCCATTGAAAAACATGACTTTTAAAGCATTTAAAAGTATCTTTTAGTTGTATGAGCCCCTAATAAAACGATTTTTTAAAAAGTATCTTTTGTGACCATGCATCTTTGCAATTAAAGTGTTTAAAAGGACAGCCTAAAGTACTGAATCCTCAAGTATTTAAGAAAGTCGTACACCTCAAAGACTACTATGTATTTCAATAGCACCTGGTCAGCAAACAGAAACAAACATAAAAAACACACACTACCAAATTATCAGAAACATCAGGTAATCTCAGTGAACATTAGAAAACTGGGGAACTCAAACATTCAGAGATGAGTTGACTCTAATTGTACTAAACTTCCTCCAGATTATAGAAAAGGGAAATATAGTTCCAAACTCACTTTATGAAGGAAATATAACTTTGATACCAAAGACATTAACCAGTCAAAGACATTAACAGAATAGAAAATTATAGCCCAAAGATCCTT